GTTACAGTCTGCGGAAATTCTGAGTAGACGCGACTACGCCACAAAGGACGCATTACATTTGGTAGCATTGTGACAAAATGAAGCAAACGGCTTAACAAATGTACCTTAACTATGCTTTTATTCATTTTTTACCAGCCGCGATGAATCATCTGTATACATTTCACTGATACGAATGTGTTGTGATTCTTCATGTAGAGCCACCGACTCTGGAGAGTTTAACAAATGTCACAGCCATATGTCTCGCGGGAACGAAGGTAATAATGCCGAACACTGCAGAGTGAAGCATGGATATCGTATGCTCTTCAGCCATTACCACTCGTTATGTCTAATGGCGAGGTTTTTGTTCCATTAATCAATTACCACAAGTGCCTATTGAATGATTTTGAACATGAATGTGAGGCGAAAAAAATGTACCGGAAATATGAAGCTTGTGTTCTAGTCTTACTGCATTCGCTACTTGCAACTGATTTCCTCTTTAGACCATTCACCGTCGTTAGGCCACTTGGCAGAAGGAAACATACGGTAACTCGCGGTCGTTAGTCCAACTCAGAAAGTAAGAAACACACAATACACCGCCGTTCAGGGACACAAGACACATAAACACGCTGCATTATCAGTTTAATGGCGTCAACATATTGTTATGGTTAACGAACAAAGCTACAAAAAGTCCCCATCCCTTATGTTTCAGCAGCAAAACATCTAAAAGCTTGCACTGAGGACTGCAAGCACGTATCCCTTTGAGAAAAACACGTTGTATATTGCTAAAGCATGAATATCAGAGATAATGGGCCATGAAATAAGATCATGTAGAGGACAGTGTAATCCACGGTTTAAAAGGGTGAGACTTACGTGTTAGGTTAAGAAGCTGACATGGTCTGCATGGGTAAGAAAACATACACGTACTTTACAGCATTGACACTAAGCAGTTGTCCTCGTGGATAATGAACAAACAACTACGCATGTTCGTTCAGCGGAATGTCAACCACATCGACAACCTACACAGAAATGAGACTAAAAGCTTTCGATCTGTGATTCTTTGTCTCCCATGTGACATTGCTTTATGGCTCTCATCCATCTTCCCCTGCTTCTTAAGTAACAAACAAACCAAAGCTTCTTTGGAACCTGGACTGGCTACATGTCGACCAATCAATTATAAAGGAAGTCTACGCTCTTTGCTAATGTCCTGATCTGTGACTGAAAGACTTAGTCTTAGACATCTATATTTTAGTGTAGGTGTTACGTACGTTTCAAGATAACTGTCTCCAAACTTTGAAGCATTCATTGATGGAAATTGTTCTTGATTGGTTCCTAGCGTGGCCTTGTACCCAAGCGTCGTGGATTGGTGATCATGATACTGATCACTGGATTGTTTGGTCTAGATTCGATTGTTAACAGATCGACATTGTATGGCAGGAGTATTGCTGGGTGCGGCGTAAGACAACAAACAAACACCTACTTTTTGTGCAAATTGTGTGAGTGGCAGGTACTACCGGTTAAACAGGATATGCTTCACCTTCCAGCGATCACATGGTGCTGTATCACTGATTTTCCAATTTCAGTGATCCATTTATATGGAATTGCCAGCACTATTTTGACATTTTAGCCTAATGGAATCTGTTTCGACAGACAATCGCGACTGGTTATTCTCTGGCGATGCCGTTTTGAATTTAGAGGTGGTATTTAACATAATAGATGAGAAAATATTAAATATTTCATGTCTAACCTTTCACAACGTGCTCCAAAATAATAGCTAGGATAGTCAGTAATAGCTCCTAGGCAACTGGTTGGGCGATTTGACACAAAGGTCACACACTATGATATTCAAACGTAGTTCACAAGGGAAGTAATGTATATGTGTCAATTCGAACTGAAAGTCGGGGAGACTTGAAAAAAAAATTATCTGAATAAAAACAAGACTCTTTCCAGAATCATACAAGCGTTGTCCACGATACGAAACAATGGTAAAGTCATTTCAAGTGAGGATATTGACAGCATGATTTGTTGTGCGAGGAAATTGATAAACGTGTTGTGTTTATTTTAATTCCATATCACGTGTTTAAAAAGTCGTAAACCTGTGTTTTTATTCCATCTATACATTGAAACCTGTAGTATGCATGACAGCCCTGTCGCGTTATTGTGATAAATAGTGTTAAAGTCTGATGTCCAAGATTATGTTGGCTCCACCTGCATCTTGGTAGTCTGTACTTTCTCCATGTTCTGAGTCTGTGGGGCCACACGTCAAGGATCCACCTTGATCAGGAACATATGCAATCCATTCTCACTGCCAACTCGTTACCACTACCTTGTCAACATTAACACCGCCCTATTCCACGACGTTAATAGGCTCTGATGTCAGGATGTGTTATCAAGGTCGGCGTACATCAATCAGTTAGCTACATATGAAGTGGTAAAAATGAAAGACATGATTTTAAAGAAGTGAGGAGACTGATAGCCCAGTCCCCTCACGTCGTGACAGCCCCACATCAGTTACATATACAGCTGCTGGCCCTGCGCGATGGGAAGACATGGCAGGAAGTGGACGTATTCTGAAACTGGCGTATCAGGCTTCCACGGGTCCTTGCAGAGGATCATGGCAATGGGTTGTAGCATGAATGTCGAGAACTGTCACATACAAGTACAGGACCACCGGTATATAAAGAACACATCACATTTCTTCAGGCCTTGGATCGTGGTGTGAATGAGTATCTGTCGTGATGATGTCGACAGTTGATATGGGTGCCTGTGCATATGGTTCACGTTATTTACAGACCTCGGTCAGATAGCTGTGAACTCTCACCCACTCTTCCAGTCTCTGTGTACATGTTTGTTCAGTCTTACATTTCCAAAATACACGAACTGTTTTTCCTTCAGTTTGTCAAGTTACTTATCTAACGCCGTTAATTCAGACAGACTATATGCATATTTTAAGTCCCTCGATAGTCTGACTTGATGTTTATCGAACGCCCTTCCTTCAGTTCGACTAGATACGTGGTGTTAGCCTGCCTTCCTTCTTTTATAGTCTGACCAGATACTTATTGTACGCCATTAATTCGGTCTGACTATATACTTATTAAACGGTCTTTATTCAGTCAGACTAGATACTTATTTGAGGCCTCATATCACGGCGGAGGAACCAGAAGTAGGCTTCACACATTGTACCTGTGTGGGGAATCGAAACCGAGCCTTCGGCGTGACGAGCGAACACTTTAACAACTGGTCTACCCCACCGCCCCAGATGCTTATTGAAATCCCTCCCTTCATAGTCTGACAAGATGCTTATTTAACGCCGTTAATTCAGTCAGATACTGAGTGACTGTCTTCATTCCATCAGACTTAACACGTGCCGAACGCTTTTTGTATTTACCATGAAGGCCACGACTGGGTCAGTGGTCCAAAGATTCGGATTTTGCCGTGCAGAGTTGCGTCGCTTGATCTTTATATTCCCGAGGATCGACACGCAACCTTCTTATATGTAGCCCAGTGAGTGTTCCACTAGGCTACATTGGCGCTGATGAATCACAATGCTTTTAAGAATGTACCGTACGTCAGCAACAGATTTTACGCCCGTTTCCTAAGGTTCACGGAAAGTATGTTTGAAACATAAAAATGTCGATAAATGTTGTTTCAAGTTTGTTTTCGGTTTATAAGTTAGATAAAACACCTCCTCTCAGGTGTTTATGATATTTTAAACCCTTATCCCGCGGATGCGTGCTTTAAATATCATAAAAACCCTTCGACATGCTTTATCCTACACACGACTGTTTTGGGTGTCTCCCTTAAATACATTATTGTGTAGACTGTTCTAATCCATGTCCCAACATATGCAAAGAACTCTGGCGGTTACAAGTTTTCCACTATGTAATGATGATCTCTTTGCGTTATGATTGGTCACATCATCCTGAAAGTTCTAATGAGAGTTTCAATACTGTCCTGCACATTCTTTGTTAATGCCATTAGGACCGTCCCTCACGCCTGAAGGCAGAGTGAGGTGAAATGGTGTTTAACGGTTCATGATTTTTGCAGTTTACATTGCGACCCGCACACGTGTGTGAATGCTTGTACTAGTCCCTACAATGTCACAGTTTTAAGTTGGAGTTGTATACCCCACTCAGACACAGTATACCGACTCTGAACTGACCATTCCTCCTTTTATCCCCTTAATGCTGAACGCCAGTCAGGGTAACATGTACCATCTTTGAAAATATTTTGGTATGGGGTGGCCAAAAATCGAACCACCGACCACCAGCTCTCCGGGCAGACGTTCTATTTCCTGGACCACACAGGTGGTCCACACCAGATGAGGCCTCCTGAGTTGTTTCTCAATAGTTTTTGTTTCATCTTCTCATTTTTGGGTTTTACCACACTCTATGATGGCCACTTGTTAATAATCAAGTCTGGACCAGTCAAAGCAGTTATTGATATCCCCGCGTCTGGGAAAGTGTGACTCACAATCAACTAAGACTGACCAGACCATTATTTTAGTCACCTCGTACCAAAAACTGGGAACTTATTCATACCAGAATCCCCTTGGGATTCAGAACAGTCTCTACTGCTGCCATCAACCAAAAACAACAGTCTCTACTGCTGCCATCAACACAACAACAACAGTCTCTACTGCTGCCATCAACATGACAACAACAGTCTCTACTGCTGCCATCAACCAAAAACAACAGTCTCTACTGCTGCCATCAACACGACAACAACAGTCTCTACTGCTGCCATCAACATGACAAGAAGTCTCTACTGCTGCCATCAACACGACAACAACAGTCTCTACTGCTGCCATCAACACGACAACAACAGTCTCTACTGCTGCCATCAACACGACAACAACAGTCTCTATTGCTGCCATCAACATGACAACAAGTCTCTACTGCTGCCATCAACACGACAACAACAGTCTCTACTGCTGCCATCATCACGACAACAACAGTCTCTACTGCTGCCATCAACACGACAACAACAGTCTCTACTACTGCCATATATAACACAATACATCGGACAAGGATATACTTTATTGCCTACAGTATACCAGACAATATAAACATACAGCACATAGATGAGGGGAATCAGGGGAGTGATGTGCTTATATATATCTAATCATACCACAGACTATTTCAGTGCTTTCCATACAGTCTCACATAAATACACATCAAATTTAGGTAATTCAAAATTATTTCATTCTAACAAACCCTGAAGGTTATTTCTATACAATTCTACAGACCACACTGACTAACTTGAGGAGTTCCCCAAGGAAGAGAGATCGGCTCCAAATACACGTTGATATTTACTCTTAAGTGTCAACTAACCCACACCAGCGTGAACAGTGACGTTTTTAGTACAGTCTATGATGCATAAGTGTCCTTACAGGGCAAGTACAGCAGGGTGTCACTAACGTGGGTGCACTGTGTAAAGAATACCTAACACTGAAAGCATCATTTATCTGGCTGACCAATAGCAGTTGAAGCTTGACATCTGTAGCACAAAATCATGCATATGTAGATGGAATGCAATATTGGCAGTAATATCTGCTCTTACTTAATCTGTGACACTTCTAGCCAACTTGCTCAACTATCAGTATTTACAATTGATCCCACCAAATCCATGCAAAAGAGTGAAAGTTAAAGATAGGTATAAGCGATAACATAAGACATAACATGATAAAAGCTAAGGCAGTAACATAACAAATCAAAGTTCTCCAACACAATTTGTACAAGAACCCAAGAAACAAGGGTAAGTATCCGTTCTCACTTCGTAACACATACATGACATTGTTTCAGTTCAAAAGTGTGAGTTCATACTTTGTAACTGAAACTTAAAGAAAAAAATAGTTGGAAAATAAACAGAATGATTTAGTATGCTGGCATCTGACACCTGGTGTCGCAACAATCAGAAGCACAACACAAGGAATATTATTACACTTATGGCTATTTGTATTGCACTTTGGTTTTTCAAATGCAATATGTTCAGTGTAATTTGGTTTTCTGGAAAAGTTTGTACATGATTTCTGATAAACACAAAGTTGAAGTAAGAATTCATAACAACGTCAAATGGCATTGAAACATTTGAATTGTTAATATTGACATGAATATAGATAATGATAGTTACATATGGGTTGCCTCTTTACAAATGACAACACTCACATCTAATCTCAACTCTTTAGACACAACATTAATATCACATGTCTCTAATAAATTCACAGTTTGTACATCTAAGCAAAATCAAATAGATTTGGTGATCAACATGAATGTTGCTTTCAAGATCTATTCACACTTTTGTGTCAACATCAACAAATTGAGTTTTCAGATATGCAAGAGTCATCTCCCTTGTAATATCTATGGACAACCTCCTTCCCAGCGTGTCAAGTGTGACACCCTCGTTACACTCCCTTAACATCGCTGCCATCAGTGTGGATGTGACCATTACAAGAACCTTGAAATTGTCCCTCTAACCCCAAATGTAGTGACATTCATATCTTTGTGCCATCAAAGTGAATTTTTAAAAGGGTTACGACTGACTTAGCAGTATTTCCAAGACAAATTTCTGCTTTGATTGTTTAATCAGATTGGTTCATGATTGCACCCAACAGAAAAGCACCCAACTTTCCCATTACATTCTTACAATACCATTACATGATAGTTGTAAAGAAAGGAAAATTCAAATTGAAAAACAAAGAATATTATTTAGCTGGGGGAAGAGTCATAGCATTACAACAGTCATCACTTGAACAAAATGGTCAGTCGGTTGTGAGTGCAACTCTAACTCAGTGGGGAGCTGTGACTGGTGGCAGCGATAGTATAGAGAGCTCCTCAAACAGGCTATCACTGTGAGGAGCTTGACCTGTGGGCAGTCTGTTTTACAGACAAAGGTTTCAAGATTCACAAGAAAATTTCAAAAGCATCAGATGTTTGTGTCCAAGATATTTTGGGGAAGATGCAAGTTACAAGTTACAATTCTGGTGGTATCTAGGTCACTGCACATGGTAAACTGTGTTCCAAAACTGTAAAATGGAAAGAGGTTTCAGACTGTATGTGAAAAACATCTTCTTACAAACCCTCTATCAGAAGGGAAAAGTCAAACTGGATGTGGGGAAACTTGACCTTTTCACACAGCAATCTCAACACAAAGGGATATTAATCAAAAGAGCAAAACAATTTGTCAGTAGCACACATTATTTTGACCCATTTTAAAAAAAGGCGTTCTGGGGGAAAGTGAACATGAACAATGTTTATATTTCTAAATGATATGCTTAGTTAAGTAATGGCTTTAATGCTTTGAAAATGGAGCTGCTCCTTGATAAAAACTGAAAACTCTTTCCATGTCACACATTTCAGTAAAATGAATTTACGTAATAGTTAGGTAATTCTGTGTCTAGACAACACTTCCATCTAATACCTAATGATAACAACATGACTTGTATCCAGGTAGACAGGGAATTTGAATTGTTTTATCCTAGTTGAGTTGTGTTCAGCATCGTGTCTCATACAGACCACTCCGGCCGATGTACCGTACCCACTTGATGACATCATGATCGCTATAGTTCATCTTCGACTCAAATACTTTCAGATACCTAACCTTAAAACCTGATGGGGCGAACGGAACCTGTAACAAAACATGAGAGACTGTAATATTCTACCTACACAAGAAATAAGTGGTCCAGTTGAAAAACAGGGCAATATCAATGTCTTCAATATCATAACAAAATACTACACTGGGAAAATTAGAAACCGTTTAGAAAGATAAAAACGTACCAGACAGAACTATCAAAGTCAGATTTTCATACGTAGTACTTGCAGAATTGTGGTGACTTTGGTGCTAAAGCATTCCCATACTTGCAGCATTGAGGTTACCTGGGTTCTCAAGCATTCCTGTACTTGCAGCATTGAGGTTACCTTGGTTCTCAAGCATTCAGTGTTGGATTAAGTTTTTGAATTTTATGTTAACAGAATAAGATATCAGAACACAATGACAAAGTATCTTAGGAATGGCACATGTTATATTCTTCACCTTTCAAAATAAGATTTGTAATGCAAGTTTTTGTCTCAGAAAATCCAGTGAAATCTTACAGCAGGGTTGTAGAGAATGGACGCAGAAAAAACTATACTGCGTCCCAAGGGATTCACAATATTATTCATTGTACCTACAGTGTATCACGAGCACAAGTACGGGTGTATGTTATCTTATACATCAAGCATGACCTCTGTCCACACGATCACTGATCCATTCCAGAATCAAAATCTAATTATCTAAACGTACAGTACACTACACCATTTCATTACATTACAGTACACATATATTGCCTACAAGGACCCTCTCTTTTGTAAGTGAAGTTAGAACCCTGCTGATGTGAGGGCAAGAATGGGATCTTCTCATAACATTGCCACTCACCTCAAAGTTCATTGATATTGGGGGTCTAGTCCATTTCTTCTTATCATTTGTGTTGAGGAGTTCAATCTCAGCACTCAGCTGGCACTCCTTCATCCCACCCATACGCTTGATTCTACAAGTCAAGAAGAGCAGTCACATCAGCTTAGTAAATCAAAATGATATGGTCGGTTTCTAATGATTACATAATTATATGCCAAGTTTAGTCAAATCTAAATATTTTTTACATTTGTATACATATCCTGCATTACTCCTTAATGCTACTACTGCTGTTTTCTGACAGAAAGACAAACTGTGTGAGATCCAGCTCCTAAAGAAAAGTTGTTCCAGCAAGTAGAGGTAGCAGCCATGCACAGTCGGCACGTGACCTGGAAGCTATGATGCCACATTAAAGCATGCAATCCTGTAAACACAACATAGCAAAAGGAGGGCACTTAGACGTCGTAATGCAGGATAAGTATACAAATGTCAGGTGGGCATACCTTTCAGATGTGATCCATAATAACCCCTTGCCTTCCATGCAAGCAGTTGCTATGGAGAGCCATGGAAGACGCGACTGCTCTGATCTCGTCAGGGTTGGTAGCCTATGGGGGGTTGTCTAATCCGGAGGCTTTATCAGCTGCTAGGATGACCGCCCAGAGCCAAAGGGAAGTAATATGCCGGCTGACCTCTGACTGCGATGAGGGAGAGACCAGTAGGGCATTCGGCAGGTGTGCCAGGTGTGCATGAAACCAGGCAGAGCTCGGATGTGGCAATCTGCAGTGTGGGTGTAACAGGACGTTGGAAGTACTAGGAGGTTGCCTCTGGCAAAGGCTCAAAGGTCAACCTACCAGTATCTTGCCGGCCATCAGGGCCAAAATCAGTGTCAGGTCCTGAGGGGCCTGGAACATTTGAAGAACCCTGGAAAAGAGAGCCGGAGATGCTGAGATGTGGGATGTCAGCAGGCAGTTCTTGGATGTGGAGAACAGATCAATGTAGGGGGAGTCAATCTTTTGGCAGATCAAGGTGAACACGTCTGCGTGGAGCTACCACCCAAGGGAGCCACCTTGTCCGGCCTGGACAGAGCTCTCAACCTGGTAAATGCTGAACGAGAAATTGCAGGTCCAGGCTGACCACCAAGTTGTAATAGGGGAAGGTCTGGTTTGTAGCGATGGAGAGTGGAGAGTACCCTGGTTCCAGAGACACCACACCATGGTGATGTTGTCCATGGATGTGGTCAACTCGGCGTGACCGAGAATGCTCTGTCAGTGAGTGACAGCCAGGATAAGGGCTTTTAACTCGAGGTTGTTGCTGTGCCGATGGACTTTGGACCACAGTCCCCAGACTGTCTGAATTGCCAGGCAAGCTCCCCAGCCCTGCTTGGATGCGTCGATGAACAGGTGGAGCGCGGGATGCAGCAGAGTCAATGAGACGTCGCAAAAGACATTCGATTGCACTGTCCACCAACGGAAGTAAGGCGTCAGGGACTGTTGGATTGGACACAAGAGTTTTCGACCTCAGCCGGTCACAACATGAACTGGCATGAGCAATCCCAGGAGCACTAGCCATTGACAAAGTGGAAGCGGCTGTTGAGGAGTGGGAAGCCGTGGTAGAGGAGGTTGTGGGTTGTGTGCGCTTATATGGTCAACCTGGAGGTCATCTCTCCTAAAGTGCATCGCTATAACGACGGGGTAAAGGAGAGCGTCGCAACAATCCTTGTCCAGTGCCGAGGTGAGGACAGTCAATATAGGGTAAGGAAGGAAGGTGCCAAATCGGGTGCCCTATCCACGTCAGGGCCCGGAGATGGCGCAATAGAGGCCTAAGCAGTCGACTAGTTGAATCAGCCCAAAATGTATACAGGTTTGAAAAGATCCCTCCCAGGAATCTGAAAGAAATTCATGATCAAGATGATGAACGGGAGAGCAGCTCCGGGGGGAGTGACGCGATCCAAAGTACGTGGTTTCTCCTTGTCTCTCTGTCATGACGATCTAGGCCGATGAGAGTCAGGAATAGATGGAGGTGCCAGTGACTTTGATGTGACATCATAGATTCTGGTTCACATGCCCACTGTGAGAAGGTCTGGCTTCTACTGGTTGGAACAACTTTTCTGTAGCAGCTGGATCTCACACAAATTGACTTTCTGTCAAAACAGCAGTAAATTCCTTAAGCAGTAATCCAGGATAAGTATACAAAATATGAATGATAAGATGTTAAGACTGGCTCGATGATACTTACTTCCACACTATAGCATTTTCACTGGCCTTGTACTTAGCCTTGCCCTTCATACAGATCACCTGCACTCCACTAGTGTTGAGTGGTGTTGGGATCCGCACCTGAAATGAGCCAGTCAAACCTTCAAACACAGATCCTATGTTCAAACATTTGGATAGATATTAACAATCTCAATCAAGGCTGTAGTTACAGGTCAGGGAATGATTACTAAACAACTAAATTTTGGTTTGTATATTACAAACATAACAATTTAACTCTCAACAAATAATAATTTCTATTTCAATGCCAATGCCAATACTAATCACAAAAAAGTTTGTTTGTTTGTTGTTTAATACCGCACTCAGCAATATAAAAAAAATAGAGTCTGGACCAGGCAATCCAGTGATTGACATCATGAGCATCAATCCACACTATTGCATCAACCAAGTCAGTGAACCTGACCACGCGATCCGGTTAGTCGCAAGCATGGGTCGCTGAAGATCTATTCTACACCGCATCTTCACGGGTCTAATCACCAAAACAGTAACAGTGAATATCAACCTTTGTGTATTCTCATTTAGTACTAAAAAAATTGATTTTGAAGGGAAACAGTATCTGCTGAAAGTGGACACTGACAAATCCAGATCTCTCTCAATACCAGAAGAAATGCATGGTCCGGAATTTCACAAGGTTAACTTATCATCAAGCATAATCTGTCTAATGGTGCCTTCTTTACTGTTGACTTCCTGAATGAAATTGTAGAAGCCAACTTCTCGTGTAAGTGCTGCTCCCTCATCCAGATTAATTTTCCCCACATCTTCTCACACATTTAGTTATTTGTTCTCACCAATCAGCAGCCATAAAATTGGGTCTGGCTCAAATAACATTGTATTAACCCATGTGATAAAACTTGGAACCCTCACAATCTTGACCCACCTTTTTTCAATGTGCCTTATTGTCATTTCCTACCTTTCACTTAGAGTGATACAGGTCTTAGGCGGGTAAGCTACGAGCACAGATATGTTGCTGACAAACCCAGACACATCAGGTCCGACAGGGATTCAAAACCATGATCACAGGTTTCTGGCAGACATAAGCCAAAGGGATGCAACTCTGCACATTGAATTGGGCGCCTTAGACAACTGTGCAACTATGTTTTGTGTAAACATTGTAGACATTAGGATTGGACTCCTGTAAAATTTTAAATAAAAAGTTTTTTCAATTTTGTGTTTTCCAAAAGGGATGGAGTTGCTGCATAAACCTCTCTCATCTGGACCACTGTCCCCACAAGGCAAAACACTTAGTTCCACTCAAGTCCGGATCAGACAGATTCCATAGTACCGTAATTTAGTTAACTTTCCCTCTAGATATGAGCACTTTTCTAGCACTATCAGAACTGTGTACCAGACATATTCTTGCAAACCAATAAGTACTGCAAAAGTACTGTTATGATATTGCATCGCCATCATTCAAAGACCTTGCATTGTATACATTCGGATTTTTGAGCCAAACTCATGTAACTATAACGGAGATGTTGTTATTAGTCAATGACAATGCAGGATTGGGAGGTAATCTATTTGCTGCTGACACAAAAGGACGTATCCCCGTTTAAGAGGAAGATAATGCCCAATACGATAAACAGAAGTTTAACGATGTCTTGAAGAATGTTTTTGAGAATAAATAGACAAGGTACAGCAACAATTAATAACAAGCATGAAATACTCACATCCCCCGCCAATATGACATGTCGGGTGTGTGCAATGCATTAGCTCCTGTGAACTATGTTCACTGGACCTTTTTGTAAAGAAATATAGTACGTTTTTCAAGATCTGCTCCGGAAACGAGGACTACCTCCATTTTCAGTCTTAATCAAAGTCGGTGCCATGGAAACTCGACAAATAACTTTTAAAAAAAATCCAAAACTATCCAAAGGCACCAGTTCACCACTAGACCTATCAATGTGCAAAATATGGTGAAGAAAAATGGTACGGTTTTCAAGATCTGCTCCGGAAAAGAGGACTACTGCCATTTTCAGTCTAAATCAAAGTCGGTGCCATGGAAACTCGAAAAATAACTTTTTTAAAAATCCCAAACTACCAAAAGGCACCAGTTCACCACTAGACCTATCTATGTGCCAAGTATGGTGAAGAAATATGGTACGTTTTTCAAGATCTGCTCCGGAAACGAGGACTACTGCCATTCTCAGTCTAAATCAAAGTTGTTGCCATGGAAACTCGAAAAATAACTTTTTTAAAAATCCCAAACTATCAAAAGGCACCAGTTCACCACTAGATCTATCTATGTGCCAAGTTGGGTGAAGAAATATGGTACAGTTTTCAAGATCTGCTCCGGAAACGAAATGTGACGGACGGAAGGACGGACGGACGGCACTCATTCCTATATCCCCCTTCCACTTCGTGGCGGGGGATAATAAGAGGATATGGCATTGATTGCCTGTGTATTTGATGCGGTTGTAATTTGCAATCCGTCTCTATTTGACTAGTTTGATCCGTACAACATGCCAATGCAGTATTTATCTCAGGCTTCAAAGTTGCAACTAATTTGGTCGTAATGGTGACTGAAATTTCCACATGGCGACCAATATTATTTAAGCAGTCAACACTTGGCTACTAGGTAAAATCAAGCTGGCAACCTGGTATCACTAACAGCATGATATTATAGACAGAAATCTAATACACTAAAAAGTACTGATTGACAGAACTAAAATTTCATTATTTAAATCTACAAATCATGATGAGATTGTGAGGTAAAAAAATAATAGATAATCTTGTCAACTAGTATTTACAACAATATAATTAACAACAAAGCTTGTTACACCAAAGGTAGGAGCCAGACTGCTGCAGTTAGGCACATTTGGTATGTTTTAACAATATAATACATTACTGACTAATAGTCACTATAACCTTGAAGTTTGGTTTCTTAGTTTTTCACACAGCTTTTTGAATCTCGCATTGGCTCCCAGAAAACAATTGTTAGGAGCCAAAGGCTCCTTGGGAAAAAACTATACTATGAGGCTTGTATCTGGAGCACTGCTTTCCATACCTCAACCTTCTGGGCCAACAGCGACGGTTTGAAGTTTGATTTCACAACAACCTTCACCTCCATCTTTTGCCTCCCAACCTCCCTGACAAGGGGGATCACACGGAAGGGCAGACTAATGTCCTTGGTTGTTCTGTATCTGAAAGTAAATAGGAATGTAAGTATAAGGAGGCTGAGGGCGGAGTTGACATATTGCACCACATAGAGCCACAAGTCACTGAAGTTGACCTGACTTAGGAAGAAATAATGCTAAGACGCTTCAACCGTTGTCACAAACATCAATAGAGTTAAAAAAAAGAATTAACAAAATCAGGAGAAAGTACTTCTCAGGAAAGACAAAATAAAGCAAGGTACCTCATGAGTTCAAATTCTCCATCAGGTGGAATGAAGCTGATGCTGTGTTCTGTCTCAAACTTGCTGAGCTTGACGCACTGGTGGAACTGACAGTCATCAATGGCTATAGACGTCTTTCCTCCTCCACCAAAGTGGCTGTGGGCAGGAACAATGGTTTAACACAGAAATGCTGGTTACAGCATGTCAGCAGTCATAACAAACCTAAAACACATGACTTCTTGGCAGCTCCTAGTGTTCTTGGCAGCTCCTAGTGTGTATTTCTTTCTCCCATTACTTTTTACTGTTTAAACTATTCAACCTAATCATGTTAGTTGATACAAAATGTTTCTGTCCTCAGTCAGTTTTCACTTCATAAAACTGTCAAAGACATCATTTCCAGTAAAATTCCACAAAATACTTCTAAGTCTATATGTGACACGTTACATCAAATACTAAATATTCAATCATGTCAAGGAAAACAGTTGATCTGTTTAATTCAAAATAAATAACCCTAAAATAGAACCAATAAACCAAGATGCCGCAATGACCTCCAAAGGTGGATGGTAAATGGTCCCTTTCCATGACTCACCTCCCCCTGCTTGCTGTGTCATCCAAGCTACTCTTGCCTTTGCTCTCCATTAGCAGCTTATCATTAATACCAAACTTGCACTCCGGCATTCCACTCAGATAGCTCTTCATCACAATTCTTCCAGCCACATGGGCACTCAGCACCTGACCTGAAACAGAAAGTGGTCAGTGATTAGTGTACAACACAATCCTTCGAGGCATATGGGCACTCAGCACCTGACCTGTAACAGGAAGTGGTCAGTCAGAAGTGTACAACACAATCCTTACAGCCACGTGGGCACTCAGCACCTGACCTGTATCAGAAAGTGGTCAGTCAGAAGTGTACAACACAATCCTTACAGCCACGTGGGCACTCAGCACCTGACCTGTAACAGAAAGTGGTCAGTCAGAAGTGTACAACACAATCCTTACAGCCACGTGGGCACTCAGCACCTGACCTGAAACAGAAAGTGGTCAGTCAGAAGTGTACAACACAATCCTTACAGCCACGTGGTCACTCAGCACCTGACCTGTAACAGAAAGTGGTCAGTCAGAAGTGTACAACACAATCCTTACAGCCACGTGGGCACACAGCACCTGACCTGTAACAGAAAGTGGTCAGTCAGAAGTGTACAACACAATCCTTACAGCCACGTGGGCACTCAGCACCTGACCTGAAACAGAAAGTGGTCAGTCAGAACTGTACAACACAATCCTTACAGCCACGTGGGCACTCAGCACCTGACCTGAAACAGAAAGTGGTCAGTCAGAAGTGTACAACACAATCCTTACAGCTACGTGGTCACTCAGCACCTGACCTGTAACAGAAAGTGGTCAGTCAGAAGTGTACAACACAATCCTTACAGCCACGTGGTCACTCAGCACCTGACCTGTAACAGAAAGTGGTCAGTCAGAAGTGTACAACACAATCCTTACAGCCACGTGGGCACACAGCACCTGACCTGTAACAGAAAGTGCATGGTGCCTAATTGCAGTCAAGGTCTACACAAAGTAATCATCGTAATTAGTGCTCTTTTTGAAACAGTGAAACATGTCTCTGTATAATTAGGATAAGCATTCATTACTAGCCTAACAAACCTGGATCAAACTTCCATGCACAGCAATAAGCTATCTTAACAGTCTGATAATTTAATATATATTTGATGGTTCTAAGAATTGAGTTAACAATAAAACACTGTATTTCATGAACATGGATTCAATAGTTCATGTAGAAGCTGCAAACTCACCTTGTGGTGACATGAGAAGGTTGACAGATTCCAGCACATCCAAGAACAGTTCATTCCTCCGGTATTTGATTCCCTCTCGGCGCCAGCCAATCTGGCCTGTTACTTGTGACGTGATCTGAGCTGTCTCTTCCTTTGTCTGTGGAGACAGGTGGTAATTGTTTTTTCACAAAACAGGAAGATGCTTGCTGAACATATATAAACTTGGAAATTTTCCACTAAATTGTATATTTACATATACTTATCCTATCTCACACTATGCATTCTTCTTTCTTCTTTGATCCTATGTGGAAACGTGCTTGAACAGAGTTTCCAGGCTTCTAAAATACAATTCACCTGAACACACCCCAGCATCACCATTGTCACCACCCAAAGAAATGGGTCACACACATAATCCCATGCATAGCGACTCATACGACCTGATTATGTGTCTCCTGTATCTGTCATTTCATTCTCTATCATCAGAGCTAACAGGCTAGAGGAGATTATATACGGGGATGGTCGGGTGGCATTATGTATGTGAGATAGGATAAGTACAATAATATACAATTTATTAGAAACTTTCAAACTTATCCTATCTCACACCATGCATTTATCCCATGATTGGATGGTGAACGCAGATACCCTAGCCTGTAAGACTACAACGGTGAGACATACAAGAGGAAGCTGGTTCTAAACAGTGAAATAAATAAAATACTTAAACCACTGACTAGTGATGTAAACGACAATAACTCGTGAGCGGGAAATCGATACCCTACTCGAACATAACAGCATGAGATCAGGAGTATGCAAAACATGTTTTCACATATGACATTGTCAAATGAATGACCGTGTAGCTGTAAAGAAATAAGCGATACAGTGTGTACAATATATGATCAATTCGGAAGGGGGCTCTAGTCAGTCGATTCTACAAGACAGCACAACACTATCTCCCACAGACAATAGCATGCATATTCTTGGTATCTCTTTTAACACATCGACAAGGCAATTAAACACACCCGAGTGACTAAAGCGTGCCAAGAAGAGAAGAGGAATGATTGACAATAATCAACCAGTAACCGACAACACAAAGACTCAAGGCAGAGGTGAGCAGAATAAAGGTTTGTGACACCATGCCTTGCAGCGACTTGGATGTTAAAGACCAAAGTCTACAGACAAGCAGGCAAGTTTAAAGATTTATTCCATATACACACGAACGTAGGACGAGAGCAGGAACGAGTATATACAATTGTTATCTGCATTGGTGAGCTGCTGACAGCTGTTGAGCCAGGACCAGAGGACCGAACTGGTGCAAACCTTGGACATAAGTGACAGTGTTGTTGAGCAGAAAGTGGGAGGAAAAGACCAAAGGATGATCCAGTGGAGCCAGAAGGAGATCGCATTATGGGAAACTTCAGTTACTGCTGCAGTCAAGATCGGAATGAAGAGGCTCTTCTGGGAGCACCTGCAGCCGCCAAGTAAATACGAAGAACACTGACTCTGACAGCCTGTCACGTGGGGATAGGGAGTCGATCAACTGGAAGACGTCAAGTGAGACCGAGGAGCAACATCTTTTTGATGAACTAAACTACCGCATTCTTGTCTGACTGTATCATGGTGAGGGGAATGGAGAAGCACCGACCAGTGAGATACCACCTTAACTCCAGATTGTTGATGTGAAGACAACATTCGTTGTCGGACCAACACCCTTCTACCTGGCTCCCAAGCCCACAGTTGATGTGTCGACGAAGAGGTGAAGGGTCGGAACAAACAGCTTCAAAGAGACCCCGACGCAGCATTCAACTGCTGACGGTGCAGATGCAAGTGGAGCGGTAGGGAGAAGGATGAAGGGCAAAAGGAAACACTGAATTGGCCGAAGGTGGAGTTGGCCCCGCACAGTGAGGGCTTGAGGCTGACGTCAAAAGGCAGAGGATCTATTGCCATTGTAATAACAGGAGCGGATGTTTGAGTGCTGGTGGTACAAGACATTGGATCTTTCAAACAACAATCTGGGCAGACAAACAACTTGCTCTGATGGGTGTCAAACAGGGCCCCGAGTCGTTGAGTGTGAGTCGTCGCAGACTTGCTGATGTTGACAAGCCAACCGAGGGGGTGGATAACGTTGCATGAAGATATTGTAGAAGGATGGTGGCATCTACATTGGCCTGGATGAAGTTGTCGATTCTACCTTGTTATGGATCATAAGGACCACACCATGTATGAAGGCATCATCCTGAGATAGTGATGATGACAGGCCCTTTGTCACGGACAGGATGGTGGAAATCAGAGGCAGCATACATCAAACCATCACGTCAAGGGGAGGGAGTTCCCAGTTTTCCACTGTTGAAGATGTAAAGGAATGTTTGGGACACAGTGTAGACACATCATCATCCAGTACCTGAGGCGAGACAGGGGTAGACATGCCGTGGGTGCCGGCATCCTCAAAGACCGGAGAGACTAAAGTTGATCTCGAAGGCAAAGAAACAAACATAACGGCAAAAGGTAGAGATATCTAACAGCACTGGTCTAGGAGGGAGGGTGATAATCAGAGAGCTTACTGAGGAAACTGCGAGGCCTATCAAATGATCCTTCACTGACATACAGCAATTCAGATGTAGTTCATCAGCGATCCAACTTAAAACTGAAGCATGGTCGGCAGGTACGAAACTCTCTAAAGGGGAAGGTGGAGAAGGGTGATGGTCAGTTCCCGCTGCATATTCCACAACCAATGGGACCGGAACAGCAGAACCAATAGGAGCGGGCTGTGAAGGAAACAGAACCTGAGTTGAACTGGTCGCAACCGGAGGCGTCGATGAGGATACATGCACTGCTGTATGGCTTTGGTGGCTGCCTGTACAAGAGAGTTAAAGTTCGGTACCAGGTCAAGAGGCTGGTCCCTGTGATCCCAAGAATCAGGGAGTTGTTGCACCAGTGGAGGGAGCGGTACAGCAGGATCCACAGCCGATGGCACAGGTGGACTTCAAAGTAGAAAGGGAGCAGCTACATGAAAGACAATCCCGCCAAGGTAGAGTCAAGACAAACGACGATCAGCTGGAGAAGATCGGTGACGCTTCTCGGCGAAAACGAGTAATCTGAGGATTGCATTTCCTTCTTCTTTCCCATTCCCCATAACATGGTATAAAAACAGCTACGCTAAGATACGGAATCCGTTGAGAGAAAATATATATATATATTCTCTATTGCCAAACAACTCACCTTGGTGAAGCGATGAGAAATAGAAAGGCGTGATTAGGTCTTGAAGGTCACTAAGCACGGGATTACGTGCATGACCCATATGTTTGGGTGGTGACTAGGGTGATGCTTGGATTTGTTCCGGTGTATTGTTTTTAAGAAACTGGAAACTGTTCAAGCACTTTCAACATAAGATCGAAGAAGAAAGAAGAATGCATAGTGTGAGATATAAGTTTAAAAATTTACATTATCAGTTAGTTTTCAACCAACCTCTTTCAAAGACTAATATAAATTTCTGTTATCAGAACATGCATCAAAGCTTTCCACAATTTGTTAATTCCTTTATACACATGAATGTCAGCTCTGATTCTGAGACCCATTTTATCATTTTCAATGTACCCCGCCAACATGTAAGATACATTTCTTATGTTCCCCGTAAGAATTGCCAAACGGTTGGCATTACATTTGTAACATACCAACAGTAATTTTATATCTCGAATTGATTATGTAAGATGCCATTCTCTGGATATTTACGATACTTTCCAAATGAAATAGATCTAGGTGGAATAACACTGAGTCTGTTAAATTTTTGTCTTCTGCTATAAATGCCTAACTGTGGAATTCTTAACGATTTGGACCAAAGCATGCAAGCATAAGACATGCCGGTCCACCGGTCCCTCGGGGGACCCGGGTCGATGTACCCTCTATATTAGTTTACGTTCCCCTTGCTCTCTGGGCTCGGGACCGGTGGACAACTTACAGTGTTCCCAGTTTAACTCTTGGTCTCACCTGAGATTTAACACCTTGCTGTGTGATGAACGTCTTCAGGATACCTGTGTCAGTGTTCTGGGGGTAGCCAAAATCCAAAATTTCTGCAAAGTTGAAAAGAAATCCTTCATTAGCACAAGTCTTCTAGGCTGCCTGGCAACAGGGTGTGCCAATCTGATGAAGCCAATATGCACTTCTTACAAACCTAAGTAATACATTACTTGCTCTTTGCATCATAAGAGAATGACAACATACATTAAGCTGTCAATTCCACTGATTGACATATAAAAAAGAGTATCTTCCAAAAGATGACATTCAGATACATGACTGAAACAAGGTTCTTGATATAAACTAGTTTGTATTTAAGTCACAGTTTTTCAGTCAGATACAGTACTTTTGTTCCATGACTGGTGGTAAAGTTATGCTAGTCCAAGCAGCTATCAGGCTAGATCATAGCAAAACTTATTTCTAGAAAATCTATACAGAATCCAAACGTAAATGCACAGATGCATCCTCTCTATCTCCAGGGCTCCCATTTCAGTAAACCTACACTAACCCCTGGATCCATTCCCATGGTTCTCTCAATCACAAATTACCCACCCTTGATTTCCATCCCTTGAGTCCCTAGTATATAATAGTGAGTGAGTGAGTGAGTGAGTTAGGACTTAAGGGGACACTGTTTTAAACTGTATTTCAGTTACATCGATACATGTCTGCTTAATATTGGAGGAAAGACCTAAGTGAAGCAATTCTTAACACATTTAGGATGATTACAACTTTCATGAACCAACAAGTATGGGTATTGTTCTGACAAATCGAGAAACTTAGAAACTCTGCACAGCCAACTGTTGCAACTTAGAGGAATGGGCCACCCAGCCCCCAATTTCAAATTTTCATGGCTACACTCTGTACATCATATTCAGTGAGATTTAAAACTGCAAAATGTCCCCACCAACTGCATTAGGGCTGGGACGAGTGACTCAGGTACTCGGGTCAGGTGGGTACTGAATAGAACCCGGGTACCCACAGGACTACCAGGACCCATGGTTAGTCATGTGATATACTAGAAATGACAACAACAATAACACACTACAAGTCACAGTGTAGGCATGATCAGATCATCTTATATGTGTATTTATATAGTTTTTTGCCAGGGCTCAGGTACATTTTGTACCCTACTCTTTAAACATACAGCTGGTACCCAGGAACAGTGTCTAAAATAACAACCTGCCAGCCTGCCTGTGGCCGGTAACCTTTCTGTCAGGCTGCATGAAAGTTGCCTCTACCTGCCCTACTGTCTGGCAGATAATTTTAAGCCAACCTCAATATTCAGTTTAATAATAACTCCTCATAGATTATTTGAGGAGTAATTGTCAGCATTATTTCAACGTAATCAAGACGCGATTAGTCTCTTATATTTCGTGATTTTTCAATATTTATAATGTCTGAATGCAAGCAGGTAACTTTAGATGGGCAGGAAACATTTATGAGTCACTTTCCTGACTGGGTTGGGTTTTAAAATTACTTCAAAAACTGCCGAGTAGGGTTAGGGAAAACGGCTTAGGATACCTGAATAGTAAATTTGGACTCGTCCCAGCCCTATACTGTATACTACACATCTAATACAATGGCAATCAATATCCTTAGGGTTTGAGTTCCAAACTCTGAAAACATGCTTACCATCAAGAATTTCATAAATCAAGACAAAGTTGTTCTTGACATTATCCTCCGAGATTTTGCCAAAGTAGGACTGCATAACTTCCACCATCTTATGGAGAAACTCGAACACCATAGCAGCATTGACATTCTGTTTTGTAACTGCAGCCAACCAGATGTTGGACTTCTTGATGTGGAAGAAACTGGTTCGGGCAATGTTTGTCACTGGCGACCGAACCTGCTGGCGGGCATGGATGACATTGACACGGAAAGCATCAACAGCATTCCGACTGAAAACAAAAGAGGATAAAAAATAATTCTGTCAGTGACTTTCAAAATGGATGATAGGTTGCAAGCTCATTTGACTGGTCACAACTGCATTTGACCGAGCACACTTGTATAGCAATAACTGGGCTTGGCAATGACTCCTAATTCACTGATCTCTACTGCATCTTTGATCCTTTGGGCTACCTGTGTTAGGGTAAGGGTTGGGGTAAGTTACTCAAAACTCAATCCTTGATTCCCCTTTTTAATTGATCATCCCCTTTCCATCCTCGGGGTTAGGCACAACACCCATTTACAATCCCCAGGCTTATTACCCCTTTCTGATCCTAAGGGGTAATGAATAAGCTTAGCCACCTCACCTATTCTTATGCATTATGCATATTTTCAAAGTTATCTAGTGTTGCCTAAGGTAAATAGATGCTTCTCTCTTTTTAAACAAATTTTGAATTTATTTTTCATAAAAATAGACTCCCTCGTATGTTCATATTTGTGCACTTGTGCATTAATCTGTTTCTAATCACCAAGTAAATGAGCACTAATAATGTTTGACACTTCCCATATGGCTGCAGTTTGTTTGTTGTTAATGCCGCACTCAGCAATATTCCAGCTATATGATAGTGGTTACAGTAAAGTGTTGGCAAATTAACTCATTAGCCCAGCTTAGCTTCAAGCTGGAAATATATGTTTGAACCTCCCATTTCCAATGCTTGACTAAATAAATACTGAAAAACTGTGGCCGGTAAAGTGAGCCTGTGACCAAAACTTTTGTGTGTCCCAACCTGAATTTATCTATTGGCAAGCATTATTAAAAACATTTCGTTTTCATATGGGCTATCATGGGCTCAGGTTTCTAGATGGAAAGAAGAAATTTAACAGAATCAAGCTTCAAACTAGTGCTCATATCAGGGATTTTCAAGTGCAGTACTCTCATTAGCTGCCAGCTTGCCATGCTTATTGCAATGTAATCATAGTACTTTAATATTGACACAAACAAAAATGGAAACATAGTAGCTATATCGTTTCTTTGTTGTTTTCCTCCAATGAAAACTATTCCAGCAATAAATCATTGATTGACATGATTATGATCCATATGAATAACTGTCTAGGTGTGATAACACACACTTATTCAAATCACCAAGTTCTCACAACAGGCTATGGAACACACCTGATGAAGGAGTAAGCATTTACTCTGAAACGTTGTGTTCCTGATAATAAAGAAGTTCACATCCATATATTCTCTTCCTTATGTGTATCACTTCTAAATGCCTTTCAAAGACCTTATAGAACACAGCATCCCAGAGTCAAAACAAGGTTGTTGCTAGACCTATTGTTGAACGAAACTATATTTTGATCTACAATGATGGTTAGAAAACATGGTTGCATCAATAATAAAAGATAAAAGATAAGATATTATACGATGCAGAATATCTACTAGGTAATACATCTCACCCAATGTCATCTCGGAACACTCGGGAGATAAGGACTTCTCCCTTGTGGTTGTATATAAACAATCCCCCAATCATCTTGCTAGTTCGCCATCAACTGGAAATAGATATCAAATTGTCAAAGGCAGTGGTCGATAAATCAGTTCTATTAATCATGCTAATTAGTCACTCTAAGTGTGACACGACGAGCACCTTGTCGGACTCGCTGTAACAACATTCACAGGTTACGCCCCTTCCTGAGCAATAACGCGTGTGCATCGTTTGATGAACTTCAGTTTAACACATACACACAAAACCTTTCCATACTGGCGGATTATCCATCTTGTGTCGTCTTCAATGCCACACATTCTGACAGGTATTATTCCTGAACACAAACTGCCTCCCAAGCAGGTACAGATGTCCCAGCGAACCGGTAATTTATGCGTTACTCGATCTATGATGCACAAGATCACAGATTATACCGATTCATATTTCAGATCTAGTAAAATAAGGGCACACAGCGTTCATTAAACAAGCCTGTCTTTGCTCGTCGGGCTTAAATTTGTTAATGTGACTAAAAAATCCTACCTCATTTGCTGCGTCAAGGGGAGGTTCCGCTAGTTCAAGGCGGCATATATCCCACAATTCTCAGAGTGTGCATTTGTATGTCTACAAGTTTTGATATATTTCTTGAAATTTCAAATTCTATACGCATTAACATTTTCAATCACATAAATCGTATTTGTAAACATATTGTAAGTTATGTATTGTTCACATATTGTAAACGGATCAAAGTACTTTTGATATAGTTTAATAAAGACACATTATTTTCATTGATATAAAGCTACTCGTAAGGGTAATAGTATATAGTGGCTTCGATTTCCCAGCTTGGCTCCGGCTGTATATCTAGTGTTAGCTTGAATGAAAATCGCAAACGCGAAGACATCGACAAACCAGCCTTCACTGACTTTTCGATAAAAGCACATAGAGATTTTGTTTTTACCCCTGAAATTGTGCAAACTAGGTAATTTCTCATAATTTGGTGTTGAAAGTAAAAATGCTAACAAACTGCACCTCACCCTCAAGTTCCGGTGAAGAGACCCACGTGCCCTCCTCTTTGACTCAAGGCCGCCATCATGCCAGGAGTGAGTTTCTGTGGCTCGGCAATATTTTTTGCATTTACGAAAAATCTCTCCTGCCCTGTTATCTTTCAACACATTTTACTTAATATTGGACATGAGCTTGATATCATTGTCTGTATTTTGTCATGGAAAGGTTCACGCGTTTGTAATAATGCCAGAATAAAGTAGGCCTAGTCCTAACACGTGCACATGACTCCTTAGACAGTGTTAACAGGTTAGATGTCTCACACGAGGTGAAATCGGCATAAGATTAACTGCAGTGCAATCAAAAGTTAAACATTTGGATACCAAACCAACAATTCAGAAATTGGGTGAAGAGAAAAAAACGAATCTTTTTTTAAACTGACACTGTATGGCATATATCCAGGCTTCCATAAGTCCCCTTTGCGGGCAAATTTCGAAATCCAGTGTTTCAGTAAGCTTTTTTGTCACCCGGTCTAATAACGGATCCTTATCATTTTCGAACGGCCCCCCATGTTACTGTATAAAAACATACCTTTCGATCAGAGTTTACTTTTTTTTTTATTTCTGAACTGTAGATTGTGTTTTTTCACCAGAATGCATGTTCAAGATCATTTAATCTCCGCTGGCAAAGGCGGTTACGACTTGCCGTATGTATGCGGTTTTGTAGACTGAAGCCGCATTCGGCTGGTACGCTGCTGACTGGTATCATCATGGCTACAGCCGCGAAAACAGCCAAATCTGGATAAATATACTCATAATCAGCCATGATAACCCGACAGTTTTGTTTAAGTGTGTGTGTACCAATTCCCACAACTGTAGTTTTGTAGCTGGCGAAATCACGGTTTGGCCCGGTCGCCATCTATGATATATGTGACGTCATTATTTATTGGACCAATCACAGGACTGAAATGGGTAGTCAGCTGATAAAGGGAATCCCTTACATAGTTATTCAATTCTTCGCGTAAATCTGGGAAGTGTGATGGGTTCAGGACTTTGTCAAGACAAGTAAGGGTAGACAGACTGTCTTCAGGAAATCTGGGATGTTATGTACCGCAAAATTTATCGATGAAGCCTGCACATGAATTTTGAAAAGCCTGCACCCAACATGCATCCGCATATGTAACTTTCACACCATGAAACACGCCGTTTGTGATGTCAAACGATTGCAATCTTTGCAATGAGTCGCAGGTTAAGTTAAAAATTTGCATTATCATGCCGAGATTCATATTGTCTTTCATAAATATTGTGTATTTCATCTGTTTCATTTTTGACGAGCCTATCTATTTAGATAAACATGTCTTAGAGTGTGTAAGTATTTAAAGTTCCATTGAGAAAATATCATGAAACATGAAAAACTATTACTATTTGCATATTGGATCACACTCCGGGGCAGTGGTGACTTAGCATAGCTCCACTGCCACAGGCTAATTTGCATATGTCACAAGACTTTCCTCTTGTTTGTAAACCAACTCGCATTTTCAGAAAGGGAAAAGAACAGCTTAATGCAAGTATTTGGGGCGCTTTAATATTGTTTTGCATAATTATATACATACAACTGCAACAGTGAGTTGCATGACAATACATATGATATTTACACATAAAGTGACCGCATTGCAATAGCTCTCCGTAGGTTTCGATGACAGCACATGGAGCCCAAAAATATTTTGTCATGCACCTTTTGCATTTGTGGTAGCATTTCTAGATCTATATTATTTTAAAAAACAATATCTCAAGCTCACCAAAGGCTTGCATTAGGCCAGTCTGTTCTGTTTTCAGAATAAGCGTGTTTGTTAAACATGCGAAAAGTTCAGTCACGTGATAGTGATATGCAATTTAGCCAATGGCATGCGAAGTCATCACTGCGCATGTGTGTGCATGTGGTTCTGAACTCATTCGGAAAATATCGATAAATCTGTTACTTGATTACTATAGCTTTGTTGTGTCTAGATACCAAAGATAAAAAGATGCAATCTGAATGAAACGAAACGAGTCGAATCCAGTTTATTTTTAGAAAACTGATTTCCTTTCTGTGTGGAAGAGAAACAGACTGGTTTTAGAGTTGAGTGAACAAAGTTTTAACACCTTGTTGCAGACAGAGACTCAGTTGAAGTTATTTTTTTTCTAACATTCTTTCTACCGGACACTGGGACCGTCACACTAAACATTTACCAGTCTTTGACATTTTTTACCAGCCAAAAGCCGGCATATACTGGAGAACGGAAACACTGGAAAACATCACTAGATATGGTTCATTTTTTTTATTATTTGCTGAAACTCCAAGGTATTTTATCATTGCTCACAGTGTGATGACGTAAGATTAAGCATAAAAACTTATTTGCTGGTTCCGTTATCAGTGCAAGTGAGTCAAATCTACTTGAAACTTTGTTAATATTGACATTACTTGTGGTAGCATCCTGGTTTCTTCCAAACACCCAAGTTGCCTTACATTGAACAAGACCAGTTTTAATGAACTTCATTTGAGGTTACCAAATTTAATCATAAGTTGGTCAATGCTCAAGACTGAAGCAGGTGAAAAAAAACCCGTTAATATAAATTTTGAAGCCATGAGCTAATTTCTGTTCCACAATTCAGAAATTATTTCAGATATCTGAAGAAATATTTCACTGTGGTAATGATACTGATCAGGTCGGGGAAGACCCATGTCTCATATAATACACTGTTCAAAGTGTCATACCTCAATCAGGTCATATATCATTCCTCAGTGGATATTTAATTTGAGATGTTTCATTTGGGGTAACTAAAGTTTTAACCATCAGTGCAGTTGATTTATCGGGGCAGTCGGGTAGCCTAGTGGTTTAAGCATTCGCTCGTCACCTGAAGACCTGGGTTCGATTCGTGACATGGGTACAATTCGTGACATGGGTACAATGTGTGAAGCACATTTCTGGTGTCCCCCGAGTGATATTGCTGGAATATTTTTAAAAGCGGCGTAACACCATACTCACTCACTTAAGACTTGTTCAAGAATTCTGGATCTTTTTTTTTTCCAACCAACACTTTTTTTTGAGAAAGCGTTTTCCACAGACTATATGAAATGGATGTGCAAATTAACCAATTATTACAAGAGACAATTTCAGAAATCTTAGAAATGTTAATGTAGCATGCTTATTTTGGTAGACATTTACTACTCATCATCTTTGATGATTTCTGTACCTATGCTGTTTACAATTTTGTATTGTTGCTTTGCTATTCGTGAAGATCCGGGGTAGAATAGGTCTTCAGCAACCCAAGCTTGCTGTAAAAGGGTGACTATGCTGGTCGTAAGAGGCAACTAACGGGATCGGGTGGTCAGGCCCGCTGACTTTGTTGATGCATTTCATCGATCCCAATCGCTTGGATCGATGCTCATGATGTCAATCACTGGATTGTCTGGTCCAGGCTCGATTATTTACATACTGCCGTCATTAGGCTGGAATATTGCTGAGTGCGGCGTTCAACAACAAACCAAAACCAAATATTGTTGCTTTGCTACCAGTAATGGTATTCATCATGCTTTGCCCAAGGTAGTGCCGTGATGTGGATCATTGGCCTGCTTATGGTTTGACACTCGTTTGCTCGATTATTAACAGGGCACTGTCACTGTGATCTAGATGGATTATTGATGACTGCTGTGTTAAACATTTTTAACATTTGACTTCAGAAAGTTACAAAACGCAGCAAAGGTCCCGTAAAGAAGGGGAAGGGCAAAGGCCGCAAGAAGCGAGTCACCCTCCACTATATGGTGGACTGCACACACCCTGTTGAAGATGGCATCATGGATGTAGCCAGCTTCGTAAGTACAACAGAGTCCCTCCACTGTCTATGCTAGAAGCTCAGGAAACTAATTCCAGTTTACAAGTCCTACCTTAGTAGATCAAAGTGAAGTATTGTTAAGAAATAGAAATGTTTGAAATAACCAATCGCTTTGACTGTTCAGAGTTTGTAGCAGCAGTTAAGTTTGTTAGTACCTAATTCTGTTCCAATTTTCTGATGGTTATGACTCACAAGTCGGTAAGATGAGTTTAATGAATGATGCTATTGTAAGCATTTGAATGTACTAACACATGCTGTGGGATTAGGGTCGCCTTCCCTAATCTGATTAGGGCCATCTTCCCTAATCTGTACCGCCATGTCATGGCTTGTGTGTTGACAGGAAAAATACCTCCATGAAAGAATCAAGGTTGATGGCAAAACAAACAACTTTGGTAACAATGTCACCCTTGAAAGGAAGAAGAACAAGATTGAACTTACCTCTGAAATCCCCTTCTCAAAGAGGTATGTTCGTAGCACTAACCTGTCCTGCATACTCCTCGATCCAGACGTATTTGTTTTATATCCAATACCTGATCAGTTATCATGGAACTGTTTAAGTAACTGAGATTCTTGGTTCTATGACTGAGAAAACAGTATTCGTTATGGACTGAGAGTATAGTTTGTGGAAATTTTCATGTTTGGAAGCAAGAGAAAAATGACACTCAATTCTCTATAATATATCTGAATTACTGGGTGGTTACAATTAGCTATCTGTAATAATTTTCACTCCAAACAAGCCAGATTGGTTGTTGACTTTGAAATATAAGTAGCCCATCTTCAAAGTTGCAGGCCTGCATTTGTAAATACGTTAATGAGCAGACCACAAATTATCATTTTCCTCAGATGTGAAATTCAGAACGTGGTGATGCCACCATAGAATGTCATCAACCTATGCTGGTGGTAAGAGGCAACAAAATTTGACTCATTTGGGTGGTAGCTTGTCTTTGTCTTTGTACATGGATCATTGTTTGCAATATTGTATTGTGATTTGTGCTGACTGCAAGTCTATGCTCATTACCTGTCTCATTAATGCTGCTGGTCTCGATGTAATACTTCACACAATCTAAACTTCTGTCATTGCTTCTTTTCTAGGTATCTGAAATACTTGACAAAGAAGTACCTGAAGAAGAACAACCTCCGAGACTGGCTCCGAGTGGTGGCCAGTACTAAAGAGGCCTTTGAACTGAGATACTTCCAGATCAACCAGGACGAGGAGGAAGAAGAGGGTGACGAGTAGCCTCCCTTTGATTAGCGATGTATCTTGCAAAGGCAGTAAACACTTTTATTGCAGTTTTGACCTTTGTTATTCCATGTTCAACCAAAGTTATGGGATGTCATATTGCTTTAACAGGTGTAGTGCAGGGCTGAAATCTGAACAAGATGCATCACAATACTTTTTCTAATTGTATGTTTTATCCAAGATTACAATTTTATTTCAAGACTGCTCTAACACATGATCAGCCATTTGGATTTCCTCGCTAATCAATCAAGGGGTCAACTGCTGATCATTATTTTTTGTTTCTAGAAGTGTTTGGTCATCTTCCCAAAGCAAGGGAGTTAACTGACTGTAAAAGTCCAGTTTCCACCCTTGCCGAACTTGGCCGGAATTTCTGGTCTCGAACGTAGCGCCACCAGTGGTTAATAAGAGTTATTTCCTTTCTGTGTCCCTCCTATTGACCAATAAGACTCCACCTGTCATATCACTTGCATTTGCTTCAAACAATAGGGTAGCGCCCAGTAAAGATGATCGATAATCAAAATCTATATTGTGATACTATATGATCATGATCACCTTGAGATTAGTAAGATAATATTTGGAAAATATCTGTTGGTAGTACACATGCTTTGCAAATCCTGCACATCCGTTGACAAACTGGATTACGATTTTGTTACGCGATTTTGATAGGACTAAACATTGGCTCGTTAGTCCAGCTGAAATATAACTCCATAATTCGAGCCTTGTTCGGCAAGGGTGGGCACTGGACTTCAATAGTCAGTTAACTCCCTTGCCTTGGGAAGATGGTGTTTGGTCAAATATACTTATTTTTCTTATGCTACTGAAACGAATAGAAAACACTGATGTAGCAGTAACACCCTGCCACTGAGAAGGCTCTCGGGGACCATTGTGCTAGTACCATATTAATCACTTTTGGTCCAGACTCTATTATTTAAAGACGGCCGTCATATAGCTGGAATATTGCTGACTGCAGTGTTAAACAACAAACAAATCATTAGCACTGGATACCTTCTCACATCTGGATGTTAATAAGGGTTGAACATGATTTCCGAACAATGGACCAATTCCCCTTGGTTTGGATGCCAGATCAAACTTCCAAAAGTTGATCCAAGCTGATTGATATGCATGTGACCAAACTAATCTGATAGGGCTTGGTGAAACCGATTTCTTTATACTTGATTCGAACTTCAATGTCCATCATACATCTGTAATATTGATAATAGGCACGAAAGGTCAATTCCAAATACAACAGATCTTGTAATGTCTACATAACCACAAGAAATACTTCGTGTTTATTCTACAGGACGAAAATGTGATTGAACGAATGCATGAAAATCACTCCCAAATTAAAACTCCAATCATGAACTAAAGTACTGTCAGAAATGCTAGAACTGATTTTTGCCTGTTAAAAAGGGATATAATTTTTCACCGACTGTTATTGAAATATCGAATAACTACCGATCGCCCTACCTGTGGTTTGAAGTATTTCAGTCACAAGGAGTCCTATCGACAAGTTTACAGGAGACATTCGAACGAAGTTCACATATATTCATCCAATGATATCAGTCTGAAACGGACTATAGAAATATCTGCACGTGACTCCGTTACAATGATAATTAGGTAGCCTCATAAAACATCTACTCCACACTCAAAAATCATTTTGAGAAAATTCTAGACGTGCATCTTCTAAAATGACAAAATGACGCTGCGTTTATTGTTAACATTGCGCCCATGATGCATGTTACACTACACTTACATAGCCATAACCAAGGTACACGACATGGAATCTGTACTTGGAAATGCATACAAGTTCTTTAACCTTTAGAGAGATAGAGGGAAACCATTTATTAATTAAGATAGGGTGAATTACCGAACTGCCCAAGCTATGGTGTTTTCAATTCATACCAAGTCTACGGTATGATAAAACAAAACAGGTATAGGGGTGGTCTCAAAAACAAAACAGGGGCGTAAAAGGATTAAGACAGCTTTGATGCAGGGTGATGAGGCGTATAGTGTACAAGCTTTTTTAGCAGAAGGTAACCCTGACTTGTAGAATTTGGGAGGAATTAATGTTTCCCGGACTGCACTATTGCTCTCCAAGAGATGGGATTTCGATACACTGCGCGTGGCGATGACCTGGCACTTTTCAGGGGAAAATATTCCATCCTGTCTATGAGGTCACATTATCTCCGAACCATTCATAACTAACACAGTCGGGGCATCCAGATAATTTACTTTGGTGAATCATTCCACTGACTACATGTGGCTATTCGCAGATAGACAAAAAGCACCCATGGTACCATCAGGTAAAGGTAATCGTGTCATTGTTTTGCACGCTGCAACCCATGACATGGGGCTTATTGATGGATGTTTTCGAGGCGAAAAAGAAAACTGGAGATTTTCATAAGGAAATTATAGGAGGTGATGTGTTCATAGACTGGTTGGAACTTCAGCTATTGCCCATTTTAAACGTCAGTGTGATTGTCATGGATAAGTCAGTTAATATAACGTCCGGGAATCAGATACTGTCGTCCAAACCATGAGCAGTCTGAAGGCGACCATACAGGAATATTTGACATTGGTCGACTTCAGACCATATGATACAAAAGTTCAACTCATGGAAAAAATTCGGCTGAATAAGAAACCAGTAAAGTACAAGACATATGCTGGCGGCACATCACGGTTAGGTTGTCTTACGTACGGCAGTCAGACATTGTGAGCTCAACCCTGTTGTGTCTATTTTGGCTAAATGTACAGGGTTCGTGGCAAGACATAACACAACATTCAAAAGTACAGATTCATATACGTCATCAGCGGAGATAAATGCTACCCCAAGAAACCATCTGTAGAACAACAAATACTCCTGGATTCCAAAACCGCAACCTTCCAATACTCATCCCTTTTCATAGCTCTTAACTAGTCCATCATGTTTCCAAGCAAACATTATGCAGTACATATCCTAAATTGCTACCTCTTCAACGCATGTCAATTAAATACAGTAACAGCAATATTTAAAGACCACCCCCATCTCGGTGACATTTGTACCTGGGAGAACGCACGGGACGGTGTGATGTCATCACCTCGGGGCAGGTGTTAGGTAATTACCTCAGGTTATATGCCATTTCATACATGCATGACAACACACGAATATTTTCTAAGTTTATCATCATTTTACCTGTAAAAGTACATTTTAAGGGTAATCACAGTGTCAGCGAGGACAGGCTAGATTAGGGCAATTCGCGTTATTTTGATGTATGCTCTCTTTATAGTCCTATGACTCGTATTTATTAAATGAAGCCAGAAAAGCAGTTTTCTAGCTTTTCCGACAGTACTTAAATATTAATTTAAGTATAGTTTAGTCCACGAGGACGTGGTGTCCACATCAGTCATTGCTAGCACTACTTTGGGTTCCCGTAATAGCCGACCACGCCCTCGCTGGTGGCAGCGATATACGCTCATGCCAAGTTTAAGAAAATATATGATTTTGATGGAAACAAACAACTGCTTTTGAATTGAAAAGGAGCCCCAGTAAGATGGGAGATCAACCAGGGAAAAGACAACACGTGCTTCATTTACGACCATGATTACAGTAAGGCCTGGGCGGAAGGGAAAATATTTTGGTTCATGGACAGACCAGCAGCGTTGTTGCCGGTTGGTTACGAAGGTGAAGGTGTCGCGCGCTTCATTGACTCTCCAGCTTCTTTAAGGGAGATAACTCTTCAAGGTATCTTGCACTTCCACTTATTAAATAATTAATATGCTAGCCTGTTCTGTAGAATGTGCGATTCGATCCGAGTTATGAATTTCTTGCACTTGTTCGAAGGAACATACTGATTTTTTTAAAATAAACCATTGGTGTGGCCAAGGCACTTCTCAGTTGGAATTTTCGTCGGAATGCGACCATTAAGAACAAGACAAAAAGGAATTTTTGCATTTTGGTGTTTTTCCAAATACTTTTTGTGTATTGGTACAAAAAGACGTTATGGAATGCTGCAGTCAGACTGTACAAGCCACACACCGAAGCACTGAATGACGTGTGCGTGTGTGTTGGATACATCTGCAGCCATGTTGTGATGGGGCATGGGAGGAAAATGGGTTTTTGACTTCCAAGATATGTTAACTTCAGCATCTAAACTCATTTGTTGATGAAGGTCATTAGTTATCCCGTCACCGTGTATACGTCCCAGCACTGAACTCGTTCCTGTGTCTGCAGTGCGACAGCTTGTGGTGTGTACTTTTCCATTTTGTTTTCGAGATATATAATTCCCCAAAGAAGCTAAAGAACACCCGATTCTTTCATATTAAAGTAATTAATCTGTCACGCCAATATACATTTAGTAACATGAAAGAATTGGGTTTGGCATGACGGATTAACAATTCGGGTGTTCTTTAACTTCTTTTGAGTAGTATATCAATATTCTTAATTTTATTAAATGTTGATGCTGTCGATTAACCACGTTTTAGCCGCGGTGAGGGGCGCAGATGAGAATTATACGTGTAACTTGTATATATTAATTCAAAGGAATCTAAGAACAAAGTTCCCAGATGTCAATAGAATACACGCAGGGGTATCACAAAAGCAATGAAAGCTGATTGATTGGGTCACATATGGTCTTCAAGTTAAAGTTTTCCTCTAGACAGGTGACTGTATTCATAAAGTAAATAAACGTCATTTTAGAATATTTCACAACAGAGGTGTAGGACTGACATTCCTCAGGGTTCGGTTTATGGTGTGTACAAACAACGGAACAGACGTCACTGTTCGAGACGAGTTTTATTGCCACGTTGCAAAATGGTCTGGAGATTGATTGGAAGAAATCCATGCTAGCAAGGCCACTTGAAAAAACATATCTAACAATCATTATTTCGTAACTTGTTTGTGGTTTAAATCCGCACTCGGTAATATTACAGATATATGACCGGGACCTGTTTATCAAGTCTACCCGTGAATATCAGGGGTAGAATAGTTCTTCAGCAACCCATGCTTTCTGTAAAAGGCGACTAACGGGATCGGGTGGTCAGGCTTGCTGACTTTGTTGATGCTGGTCATCGATCCCAATTGCGTGGATCGATGCTCATGATATCAATCACTTGATTGTCTGATCCAGACTCGATTATTTACACATCGCCGTCATATAGCTGAACTATTGCTGAGTGCGGCGCTAAACAACAAACAAACACATGTTAATCCAGTCTGGACCAGACAATCCAGTGGTTGATGTTATGTACAACTTTCAACGGTGAAGGGATACGATGACACGCCATGGCCCAAGCCTGTCACCGACAAATCCCTATAATTAGTAGAATTCACAACTAAGTGTGTGATACCATAGTGTGCGGTTGTATTAAGCCAACAATGTCTCTTCTACCCTTTTTTAATATATTTAGGAAATATACATCACCATGTAGGAATATGGACCTACTCATGTGATTATGAAAAGCTCGCAATTCCCTTTTTACTGTAGACCGTCTCCGTAGTCTAGTGGTAAAGCAGAAGGTCTGGGGTTCGATTCCCGGCCGCATCATACTAAAAGACGTTAAAAGAAGGTACTCTTCGTTACCCTGCCTGGCGCTCGGCATTTAGGAGCTAAAACACGGGTTGGTCGGCTCGTATACTGCGGCATGGTATCTCAGTGGACTAGAACTATAAAATCGGCATTAGTCCGGACAAGTACAAGCAGCCACACACACATACACGTGCATGCACGTCGCTTTGTAAGTGCAATATTCTTGATCGCGACGTTAAGCCCCATTTCACCTCACCTCACCACGTAGCATTAAAGTGATTTGCGTAATGACACCCGATGCGAAATGACCGATGATTTTCAAGGTATCATGCAACACTGGGGCGATTCAATATTCCTTGGTACCATGCTATTGCCGTGGCCCCAGACCTTGTCTATTTGCTACTTACAACTGTCCTCTAGAAAGCAATAACCACTCTTATTTCTACTGATGGTGTAAACCCATTAGCAGCCCATTTGCTTTGAGTACATTATTTTGAAAGGTTAATGGCAGCGAGTTCAACAGCCGTAAGCACCACATCTCATATCAGCCCCAAGAGGAAAGGGCAAAACGAGACATCCTGAACTGTTCTCAGCGGGGACACAGTCATTTCTTACACCTATTGTGTTGTCTCTGTTAAAGGAGAAAGGGTTAAAACAGTCCATCTAGGTTTACACATGGGAAGAAACCAGTGCCTATCTGCTGTAACTCTGTCGTGTAAGTGTGACGGTATACCAGGGGCGGCTGAAACGTTCTGAGACTAACTGTTAGGGATGTATATTACACCCTTAACAGTTTGCATGTATCAACTGCAATACTTACAGTGAGTGAGTATGGTTTTACGCCGCTTTTAGCAATATTCCAGCAATATCACGGCGGAGGACACCAGAAATGGGCTTCACACATTGTACCCATGTCGGGAATCGAACCCGGGTCTTCGGCGTGACGAGCGAACGCTTTAACCACTAGGCTACCCGACCGCCCTTGCAACACTTACAGGACTTACACTGAGCCGAATACACAACCAGGCAACATATTTCTGCATGCATCTCCAACAACTATCCAGCCCATGCTTGCCGTAAAAAGCGACTGTGCTTGTCGTAAGAGACGACTAACGGGATCGGGTGGTCAGGCTCGCGGACTTGGTTGATGTCATCGAATCCCATTTGCGTGTATCGATGCTCATGATAGCAATCACTGGATTGTCTGGTCCAGACTCGATTATTTACAGACCGCCGTCATATAGCTGGAATATTGCCGAGTGCGGCGTAACACAACAAACAAACAAACAAACAACCATCCATGCGGAAATCTGTTACTAATGTGTGTGTGTCTGCAGCAGAAACATCTTTGTCATAATCATGATGGCAAAATGGGTCGCTGTGTTGTCACTGCAAACCGCAACAAAGTATACATTTTCATATCCTAGGTGTGTACTGTTTGTTGTTTAACTACGCACTCAACAGTATTCCAGCTATATGACGGCGGTCTGTAAATAATCGAGTCTGGACCAGACAATCCAGTGATTGATATCATGAGCATCGATCTACGCTATTGGGATACGATGACATGCATCGACCAAGTCAGCAAGCCTGACCACCCGTTAGTCGCTTCTTACGGCAAGCATGGGTTGCTGAAGACCTACTCTAACCCGTATCATCCCGGGTCAGGTGCATTCTGGCAGATCCTGTTCTAGTCGCAATAGATACACTTCACAAATAAATAAAACAATGTCGTTTCAAAGCCTTGCAAGTTTAATACAAAATCTTACTATCAATGATAAATTTGTATACCTTGGAACAACACAAAGATGCTATTTACAATGACGGGGACCTGTTTCGCCCATTACTAAAGACAATAGGTACTTCTACATACACAAAGCACTGTATGATATCCATGGAATAAACTGAAAATAAAAACAATGGTATATATAATGAAAAGACGTGTATGATGAAATGTAAGTCAAGACTGGCCGTGGATAATTAACTGGTCACATGCAGAGATTTTTTCACGACAGTAATGTCATTTTTACTACCATTAAATTGAGAAGAAATACACAACTGTTGCTCAAAGCGAATGCATACCCCATAGTATTTCGCCAAACGCGTCACATATTTTGTCGAACCGTGTAAAGGTATAACAGTTTCGAATTGATTGTCAAAATAATGGGACCGATTTGTGAAGATGCATCGCAGTGTGTACTCCAATGTATTAAACTGTATCACTTGCTTTGTGCTGTATATGATATTGGGGGTAAATGCATCCACATGAATATGCATCTGTACTAATGGATATTATGCACAAGCACACCGTCACATACCACCCAGCAACTCGACCACACTGTCAAAACAGTAGATAGAAACGTGCCTCACAACGCCCGATTTCTCTGGAAAAGGTATACGTTGCATCCATGACGTTTTGAGTTGTTTAGGATTGAAATGTCTTTATCTGTCACACATGCGAACAGTGTCAGCATCTTCACGACCTTTGCGCTGTTCGATGAATGATTTGTTTCTTGCCAAACTTCTTGTTCATAATGCACCAGTCACAAATTGACATAATCACATGCACTTTGACAAAAAATATAATATATTCATACATGCTATGTACAATACGATGACTTTTTACACATATTACAATAAGATACACCTAAAGAAACTTGTTTAAATTCCTAGATACAAATTGCACATTTAGTACGGCTCATGCTTACAAAAGCTATGGCAGTTAAACATGGTAATGCTATTGCATGCGTATAAGAAGCACTAGTCTCAGTATCTACATTCTTGTGTGACCTTTTCAGTCAATTTACAATCACAATAGCACTTTCGGCCATTTTGTGTAACCATACATGTAATTGTTTGAAACAGTTACTATTGTTTCATGAATAATTATCGCGGTGAAAATTTGATATTAGTTGGGTTTTTTAAATATTAACCCATTCTTCTTAATGCAACAAAGTTGAAACCTTGGTTTGCAGTGATGTTAAATTTAAATAATGGTTACATGTGTCGACTGTGTCACACTACAAGAAGTCAATATTTGTTGACAGGTTACAGCATAGTCATAAACATACGTTTGTAAAATAATAATAATGTTGGATTCACGCAATATATCGCTCTACTTTACAGTAATACTATGACATGAGCCATTATTGCGGACTAGAGCCATATTGATTTAACTTTACATCATCAGTTCATATTTCCTCAGACAGCGAACAACGTTTGCAGTTCCACGTGTAAAGGCAATCGATAAGGGATATTCAATCAATGTGTTAACCCTGAATGTAATTACAATAAACAATAGAGGCAAAGGGGCCATGTAGAACACGGTGCTCCTCGAACGGACACCGGAAGTCATAAAAGTAGGATTCAGATATATCCCCCTGCACTGAGATCCGACTTTGGCACTACATTTCCTGGCAGTGACACATTATTTTGAGATTATTTCCAACGAAGTCAGTGGTGTATCGAGTTGGCGTCATCCTAAGACACTTCATCCACACAACATACAAACAAAACCGATAACATATACATTATGTTCGCAATCCGAAAGACTGCCTAAAAATGTTCATCTTCCCGAGGCAAGGGAGTCAACTGATTGTAAAAGTCCAGTTTCCACCCTTGCCGATCTAGGCTGGAATTATGGAGTTACATTTTGGCTGGACTAACAAATCTATGCAAAGACCAATCAAATTCGCGTGACGTAATCGACATCCTGTTCATAAACTGCCGTGCAAATTTCGGTCGAAAGTATGTGTGCCGCAAACTCGGCATCTACAGATATTTTTCAAATCTTTTGATGTTTTGAATGAAGGTGCTCACAAGATTTGTTGCACTTTGAAGTAAGACCCGTTTTATTAAAATGCAGATCCTGACTGGGCTCCGCAAATGCAAGTGATATGAGAATTGGAATCTGATTGGTCAGTAGGAGGGATATAGAAGGGACTCGTAATGGTCACTGGTGGCGCTAGGATCGAGCCCAGAAATTCCAGCCTAGTTCAGCAAGGGTGGAAACTGGACTTTTACAGTCCGCTACCGTGTGGGGATGTTTAGAAGCAATGACAACACGGAATAGGACAGGGTCGCGTCCAGGAGACCCAAGCATCGACGCACCTGTGGTTTTAACAGTTCTTAATGCATGGCTATATTGTCCCTTTGAATTACATATGGAACAACACGTGAAGATCTGGATATCACCCGCGATTTACCATGCCATCAACACAGACACAATATAATCATAAATACAGACTTCACTTTAACGTCGGCACTGTAATATATTATACATATGACAACAAGCACAATTTCAGTAACCATTCCAAACATGTTCAATTCTGCAATTACTCCCATTGCCATTTATATTATCTCGATGCCTAATTATCAACATGCATAAATAATGTTCAAATGTAATCAGACTCATATCATACTCCCTTGTATCGCTACAGCGATATTAACACGCCAGACATTCGGTGTTGGCGACAACTGTTAGACAACAGAGTGATGTACAGTTTACACTGAGACACGGAGTCTTTTCGTCTGAATATAACTCTCCAGAAGGGCTTGGACTTCTTTGAAGGCAGCTTACTTAAGGAAAGTAGGTAAGTTCCAGATATTAGAAATCAGTTTTTCTTAATTAACATTATATACACTCGCCAAGATATTAGTCATTGAACATTGTTCTGGTTAATTTATATGGTACGTAAACATCACTGAATAATGTTGCCCCGGTATGGTTTCAGAACTTACCAAAAAACAGTAACATTATTGTATTGTTCATTTGATGACAAACAATAGAATGAAAGATACATGTGACAACTAACAACACACACTTCCGTGTTAATGAGTGAGTGGTTGGGTTATGGCGCCGCTTCAGTTATGTCCTGTATGGCCACATGTGGTGTAGGGTAGCCCTACATACGAACGTATAATGCAGGGCAAGGGTATATGGTGATTGGGAGTATGAACAAGGAGAATCCCAGGTTCTAACCCACTATCATTAGAACCTGACAGCTCAGGAACACAACCCTGCACAATGAATTGCAGCGCCTTTGAACACGTTGTGACTAGTTCTCCAACATCTGGACAGGGTCAAGTCAATGAAGATTGTGTATCATAATTATGAAGGGATCTTGTCTTGATGAAATGACAAGAGAAGGCATAAAGGGACAGACGATTGAGCGGAATGAATATGGTCACCCCATGTTAATATGTTCTCCACACAAGCATTGCAATGATCATGATAACTCCGCTATATGAAATTTTGTTATGATTTGGTGTCGTTTATCGATCCTTTTCGTATTGTTTTTGAAAAATGATTATCATGTTTTTAAATGAGTCAGAGAATGTGAAGTGGTTTAACGCAGCTTGCACAGTATTTCAGATATTTCATACCGTGTCCGCTTGACGTGACACGAATGCTCGATGCGATGCATGTCACAGATGTGGTGATACCGTCGTGCACGGGGTTCTGGAATACGAATCAAGGATCAGCGGATCCTTGTATGGCTAAGACGTACAACTCTGCCTCAGACCACTGTGCACCCCGCACCCTTTGTCCAGTGGTGTGTAAGTTGACAGTCTGTACACAGGAAGACATTGGCACATGCGATTCACCTTGTACATTAACAAGCAATCATCATCCTTCATTACCAGATGAAATAGGAAATAATTCGATGTTAGGGATAGGTTGTTTTGAACACACGACTGTGGATATCAAAATAACCCTGGTTCTTCTATATGTCTTAGCACAAATGCCCTAGGCCAGATATATTGCAGTGTTGCCCACTCATGGCTCCTTGTTTTGTCTTGGAATGGAGCCCATCACTACATATCGCTCCTCCTCCTCTGGTGGTTTCTCAGAACAGCAGCCTTCTTTCTCAGCTAGAGCTGCTTTTAAGTTCTGGAGATTTTCTAGACTCTCGTACAGGTTTTCCACGTGGTCCCCTTCAGGGCTCATGGCCTCACAGCAGGGAAACGGCTTGGGTGGACAGTCATAGTCACTGACCTTCCTTGTGCGCACCACATCGTACGCCCCCTCCATCCCAGACAGCATGACGTTAGCCCCGTACGTGGGGTTGCTGAGACTGAGTGAGGGAGGGATGTCGTACTGGTTCTTTGGAATATCATCATCCAGGAATTTCACTTCCGTTGCCTTTTCCCCATCGTCTGAATCTTCGTGACCTTCCGTCAACGGTCGGGTTACTTCGCCATAGTAAGGGTTCTCGTAGACGACTCTAGGCAGGTCCTCTTGGTCCGACTTCTTGCGCCTACAGACAGAAATAGTATATATGCAACATATAAGGCTTTATTTAAATATTTTAGTGAAATGATCTCATTTTGAATAGCGCCCTAAGTGTATATCAGGGATGGAGGTAAAACATTCAACAATGAACAGTATTCCAGTTACATCACGGCGTGTCAACTTAATGTGAGAGGAAAGCCCGAAGTGATGCAGGCCTTAGTTGTTTACCACTTTGGAGAAAACCCATCAGCACGGGTACGGTGCTGACAAACCTAGAAACATAATAGGGGCGAACTGCGATTTGAACCCATAGTAATCATAGGTTTCTGGCATGCCCAAGGGACGCAACTCTACTCAGCGATGTGTGACGCCTTAGACGTCCCCAATAGAAGAGACATCAGTACATGTCACAATACATCTTATCATTGATTCACTATTTGCGACAGGCACAATTGGAGGTTCAAATCAGATTAAGGAACGGTGGGTTAGCCTAGTGGCTAAAGCGTTCGCTTGTCACGCCGAAGACCCGGTTCGATTCCCTACATGGGTGCAACGTGTGAAGCCCATTTCTGGTGTCCCCCGCCGTGATATAAGTTCAAATGTGCCTCTGTTCACCCAGCAGGGAATGGGTACCCGATATGTGAGGTGGATGTAACAACCTTCTAGCGCGTCTGAGCAGCTTGGGTTGTATACTCCCCAGGGAGTTGAGAATGATAACTGAAATGCAAACGGATCCACTGGTCGTGGAACAAATATAAACCGCATTTGAGCAGATACTAGTACCTGGACACCTGCGGTATATAAATGTGTAATTTAATTTAATTCAATTAATATTGCTGGAATATTGCTAAAAGAGGCGTAAAACCATAGTCCCTCACTCACGTGATATTATTTTAAAAAAAGGATTACTCACCGTCTGACGAAGAAGAAAGCGCCCAGACACACGCCAATAAGAAGTCCGAGCAGGACAGCCAGGATGAGCCCGATCATTGTACCTGTGACAGAACATAAACACTATCAGACGAGCTCAGATACACCAGCTAACAGGTATTCTGTCACTGCAGTGACAACGCAACACTTTGTACTTGACTATATCAAAGTATTGTTGGTAAATAATTAACTGAGTGTCACCTTGACCTCTGATAGCCAATACACGTCTCTATGTCGTGTGTGTGTGTGTGTGTGTGTGTGTGTGTGTGTGTGTGCGTGCATATTTGGTACAACTGACGTGACCATAAATGATGTATTTTCACATGATGATGCTTACCTGTAGTCCATTTAGCTGGTTCGGTTGGCTCAATCTTCTTTACTTCACTCAGTTGTCCTGCATGCACAAATACAAAAGAAATTATTGAGTGAGTATGGTTTTACTCCGCTTTTAGCAATATTCCAGCAATATCACGGCGGGGGACACCAGAAATTACTTCACACATTGTACCCATTGTAGGGAATTGATTCCACGAAAACATATGTGTCGGTCAGTATTCCAGGCATACAAAACTGTGCCAATGAGACGCCACATGTTTTCATGAGAACATTAGTATCGGTCAGTATTGATGGTGTGCAGGAAAGAATAATATTAAAAAATTAAACACCGAGGAAAAAACAATGAAACGGTACTAACCAATCACATTGACCTGTGGCCTCTCTGTGGTGGAGGTCAAGGTCGACTGGGTGGTCTCCGCTGTCGTGGTCCTCATCTTGTTGGCAGACTGGAGGTTCGTCTTCTTCTCCAGGGGTTTGATGACCACGTAGGTGATGGTTGAATTTGGAGGAATCTCTGTTGTCGGCTTCGTCGTGCTTGTTGATTCTGTCGTTGTCGGTGTTGTGGTTGTTGTAGTTGTAGTTGTTGTTGTTGTTGTGGTGGTGGTGGTGGTCGTCGTACTGGTTGTGGTGGGTACCATATCTGGAAGAAAATGTAATCACTTTGAAATAATTCTGTGAATGTATATGGACATTTACATGGTTGATCTAGTCTTGATCCAAGTACAGCAACAGTCCCCATGATGACATTAATAACGATTATAGAATACGTTTGTACATCTTTAGTCTGTGAAAGGCTGTTTATCGACGACGCCTATTGGTGACAAATAGAACTTAAGACATTCTTCACATACGAACTTTCTTCCCTGTCCCGATCTTATTAAGGATACCATATAACAAATGTCCACTAAATATGTTATATTACTGCGAGAGCTCGAACATGTACTGCAATAGTCTGAAACGTACCTTACGTATTGTACTTTTAAATTTATAAATGAGTTCGTCTTTCAGATTCACATGTGACGTACGATTAACAAGTAGAAATAACATCGAAACTTGAACCGACAGCAGGCGAGATTGTTGATACCAATCCATTTCTTGATCATAATTGTATTCATTTTGTGTAGAGAAGAGAAATGTGTCCAACTGCAGGTGGGTACTCACTGTACTGGCAGACATAGCTGTAGTGGAACGCCAGACCGTCACACTTGTAGTCGTGCCATCGGCCGCCATCATCCAGTCGGATCTGAGCACAGTCCTCCATACACAAGATGTGGCAGCTCGGTTGACTCGGCGCCCAGTAGCTGAAGCCAACTCGCTCACCTACAATGTGTCATGTACCTTATATACCTAGGCATTGGGAACGTATGACTGGAACATTACTTTCACTTAAGCAGCGGTTACAGTATCTCTGTGCAGCTCCCTATAAACGATGATGGCATGTCGCTACACAGAGCTATAAGACTGTCCCAAAGTGTTCTCCTTATAGAGCCAAATCTACATCGCACTTTATATGCTTCAGCAAGGTGTATGCGTCGTGATCTAACTACAAATGCAACATGACTAACTTCCTAACTTCAAACTGGACCGGTCAAGAATTTTTTACCTGCCACTGCGCTCAACAATGGCGGCCGACAATCCGTAACCTTGCATGACAGAAGCTATAAATACATATATTTGAAGGCAAGTGTTTTAGGAAGCGAATCGTGTTGAGTTTCCGTGGGAATGCGACTCATGTACTTTATGGCAGGGTTGTTTGTGCGCCATGTTCCGAATCCGGAAAACACTATGGGACAGCCGTAGCTCTGTGTTGCGACACGTCAAAATCAAAGTCGTTTATAGGGAGCAGAGATACTGTTACCAGTTATCAGTAGCATGCGGATGTGGACGAAGCAGCTTCAGACAATGCAGACAGACAAGCTGGCTGTTACTCTGAGAGGTCTTCACGCTGTTGCTGACAATTTACCTGTGATCCATTCCCATCGCATCTCCCTTGAGAGGTCATTGGCACCAATCCAGACGCCATTTGTCCTCCAACGGAGGTCTCTCAGGGACCTCATGATGAACTGCTGTGTGTCCATGTTCTTGACGACCACCAGGTGTCCTCCCCGCTGCCTACAATCTCTGTTCGCTGCTCCCCAGTACTTCTCATACCGCACAAACTGGTAACACAGCTCGCCGAAACTTTTGAGGTAGGGGTTCCTGGACAGGTTGGAGGGACATCGGGACAGATCCCCGGCTGGAAGAGACACAGAGTGCACGTGTTACTGAACATCTCACTGTAACTATAATCATCAACCTACAAGTATCAACCTTCAGGACGTGTTGGCTGGAGTGCAGAAACGCGATGAAAAACATGTGATTGATTTTGAAACAGATCGCCGATTGAAACTCGCGTCAACCGGGATGACAAGAAATTGTTCCCTATGATATAGGAGCAGGAGAATAGCCTATTTTGTAATTAGAAGCGTTGTGTCCTGTGACGATTCCGGGTTAGAATTGGTCTTCAGCAACCCATGCTTTCCGTTAGAGGCGACTAACGGGATCGGGTGGTCAGGCTCGCTGACTTGTGGGGTGGTGGGGTAGCCCAGTGGTTATAGCGTTCGCATGTCACATCGAAGCCCCGGGTTCGATTCCCAACATTCGCACTCTATGTGAAGTCCATTTCTGGTGTATCCGCCGTGATATTGCTGGAAGATTGCTACACGCGGCGTAAAACCATACTCACTCACCACCTCACTGACTTGGGTGATGCATGTCATCGAATGCAAATTGCCTAGACTGATGCTCATGATATTTTTTCACTGGATTGTCTGGTCCAGATGCTATTATTTACAGACCGCCGTCATATAGCTGGAATGGAGGGTGTGACGTTACACAAACAAGCAAACAAACAAACAAATAAAACAAGCATTGGCTTGTCACGCAGAAGACCGGTTTTGGATTTACCACTTGCATGGGTACCATGACCATTTCTGGTTCTCCCAGTTGCAACATGGCTGTAATGTCTATACATTGTGTAAATGTACTGTGTTTTACGGGAATTAATTAATACACCTTTAAATATTCCGAATCGTTAGGCCATATTTTAAAGTATCAGGTCAAGGATATTTGAATGTTGTCATCCACTTTTGCCATTTTCCTCTCTGATCTCTATATTACTTACGTTTTTACATACTGGACATAATAAATTAGAGATCATGAATTTTTTCAGGAAGTTGTGTGCTCTGTCTTCATTACAAAAATATGTTTTGTTCAGTATACATGATACTCCTCATGGCCCCGCACAGTGAGAATTCCCTGATATTTGAGGCTGTTTCGTTATCCCTCGCTAAAAAACACTAAATGGTTTCCGGGTTCTCGCGTGAGAAATCAGTGGTAACCAGAAATGAACATTATGTCAGATTACGCAATCATAACCACGCTTCGTGTCCCCTCTAAGAGAAGGAAGTACAGAACTCTGGATCAGGAGACAGTTCTGACCACACAGACGGTCAACTGTACTCTCTGCAGTTGACGCATGCTAATATCATCAGTATGTTTACTGAACGTGACTATCACACCACACATGTCTGCGGTGTTGAAACTGAAAACTACGTTGTGACTTGTTTATGCAGTCTGATATTTGTTCTAGAAAAATACATTTAGTGCACTTAGCAATTGTATAAGCTAAGTTAATAAGCAGCTTCCTCAATTGATAGCTGACCTTTACATCTGCGCCATACTGGCCTTTTGAAGCACGAGGAGAGCTGAGAGTACCCCTGTGTTTCAGTGTTAAACGCATGAGAGAAAACTAACATGCGGCATTTGGACTTCATTCCATTCAACGTCCAGTTATATCATTCAACATAGAACGTTCGAGGAAGCGTACGGAAACGCACCCTCCTTGTGTATGCCATTAAGCTACCCTATAGATATATTCCCCTATAATTCAACCTCGACGAAAATCTGTCTGCTGTTTCCTATATTTTTCCAGTTTTTCAACAAGCATTAAACTGACAGTCCCTGAAAACAAATGAGAAGTATTATTGATGACACATGACACTACCCTTACCCAAACATGTCATGTAATGCCTACCCTACACTTACCCAAACATGTCATGGTATGCCTAACCTACCCTTACCCAAACATGTCATGGTATGCCTAACCTACCCTTGCCCAAACATATCATGGTATGTCTAACCTACCCTTACCCAAACATATCATGGTATGTCTAACCTACCCTCACCCAAACATATCATGGTATGTCTAACCTACCCTCACCCAAACATATCATGGTATTACTATCTGTTGCTCTCCACCCAACCCCTTGAACACACTACCGGGGCGGTCGGGTAGCCTAGTGGTTAAAGCGTTAGCTCGTCACGCCGAAGACCCGGGTTCGATTCCCGACATGGGTACAATGTGTGAAGCCCATTTCTGGTGTCCCCCGCCGTGATATTGCTGGAATATTGCTAAAAGCGGCGTAAAACCATACTCACTCACTCACTCACTGAACACACTACCGCCCTCTTACTGCCCCCTAACCCTTAACCCACATTTTAATTCAGGCAATATATCAACCATCTTGACGCATTACGTGTCAAAACATAAGGAGTCTCAGAGTTTCGATTATAGTCGGTCTGCCTTCAGCCAAATGTTGTGGCATTGTAAGGGTCATAATGTTAGATTCATGTAAAAACCTTATATAAAACCTCCATCTGACATACCATACTGGAAACACCACCGCATTCTAATATTTTTGCCTGATAGGACGTTCTTGTAATTTCTACACCATTAAATGTGACACCCTCTTTTAAAACTGAGTGATGATTTTTTTAACAGTTCGACAACTGCTTGACGCTTACAATGCTCATCGGAATTGTTGACATCGTGTGTTCCGTAGCGAGATGTTAAGGGATTCATCACGAGCTAAAGCGATTACCTCCCTGTCATGTCCTGAGACAATACGGCGACCCGCTGCGCCAACAGCAGACAGAGCAGAGCGAAGCTAATATTACGGACAGAACTTGGGCATATTTTGCATTGACTTCAAAATGTATGTTATCATTTCTCTCTATGGGTATCGCAGCTCCATGCTCTGGTGCCAAATTCCTGTTTAGGGCTAGACGTTGTAATAACTACCATTTGTGAAATTGAGGAAAATATTCACGATGTATTAGGGTAATTTTAGCTGTAAGATTCATACACATTATATAATGTATGCTGTAGAAAAACTAAGTAGTGATTGAACGTCTTGAATCAAACTTGCTCGTTTTTGTTTTTCTTTAATCCTTTTTTAGGGAGCGTGTGTTCTGCCATAAACTAAACTAAATTTGTGAGTTAAAATGTAACGCATCGACAATATCCACATATATTGAGACCCGTGAAGACCCGGGGTAGAATAGGTCTTCAGCAACCCATGCTTTTCGTAAGAGGCGACTAACGGGATCGGGTGGTCAGGCTCGCTGACTTGGTTGATGCATATCATCGTATCCCAAATTGCGTGGATCGATGCTCATGATATCAATCACTGGATTGTCTGGTCGAGACTCGATTGTTTACAGACCGCCGTTATATAGCTGGAATATTTTTGAGCGCGGCGTTAAACAACAAACAAACACACACATATATTGAAGCATGCTGGAAGGTAGGATATTTCATAACACTGGACTCAAATAGGAATATATCTGTACTGATGATTTAACCAGCTTAGATTATCAATCTAAGACGCTGCGGTATTACACCTATGTTGGTTATGTGTCGTCACGTACATGTTTGACTTGTCAATGTCTTTACCGTGTCACCATGCACTGTGTGACTTCTAGGAAGGGCACAAGGGCTGAACAGCAGCCACCAAATACCGCATTAAATATAACCCGCCCGTGCAACGCTTAACAAAAGCGTGTTATGTCTTATTGTAACAGTAATGCAGCGAGTATTGTGAAGTGGGTTCAGTCTGCTCAGGTCCTTTGAAAATCGGCCTTATTTTGGATTCTTTTCAAATAGTGACAGCGTGTTTAGCTGTCTCATGAATGGGTCCGCGAATGAGTTGATGCAGTGAGTCATTGACAAAGTATCCTGAACAAGTTTCTTTTTCCTAGTTATGGTTAGCATGTCCTGTTAAGGAAAACAATCTATCGATATTACAAATGGTAATGTAATCAGTTTGAAATCACGCCCACCACAGAGGCTCTGTGTGCCTTACTCACACTTCCCTTCCCTGCAAACTCCTGAAAACCCATTAACCATTTGAGCTATTCGCCTCATATGCAATGTACTTCAGCAACGCAGCTTCTACTTTCCTGTATGATTTGGCAAAACTATTTCATTCAGCAAGACCATATTATATAATATTTCGTCAAATGTAAACAATAAACATCTCGTACTCTGTATCAAAACAGCGTCAAAGGCGCCGCAATTCGCTGTGCAGAGTTGCGCTCTTTGGGCACGCCAGAACCTATGGTCTAGGTTTTTCAGCACCATACCCGTGCTCGTTGGTTTCACCAAAGTGAGCTTTCCTCCCACATCGAGCTGACAGGCTGTGATAATACTGGACTAATATTCAAAGCGGCGTTAAACCCAACTCACCCACTCACTCAAAAGACATATAGCCACATTTCAATATCCCTTACAAATGGCAACATGTTGATGCACAGATATCTGGAGTAGGTGCATCTGTAGTGCTATATCTGCCTGGGTATTTGTGTAAGTGATTAGCCGTGTGTTGACAAGTACAGCAAATCTCTGTCGTGACCCAGCCCACGCACACGGCAATGTCTAATGTAGTTAGCGACTGCACCACAAGTATGCCAAGTCCTAATACCATCGACAACCCCAACGTGATGGAGAATGTGGATCTCTTTATTGATTTAACCATACGAGGTGACATTTCATACATTTCATTATTAAGACATGTTTTTCTTCCAATGCCCCAACATATCACAGAAAGCCATCTCCTTTAATTTCGGCAGATAAATTGTACAGCTTTGAAAATCATGACGTAATCTATTGATATTCAATGATGAAATATTGAAATGTCTCTTGCAAAAATATTTCAGACGAATTAAACGTGACAGAAAAGGACAGGGAGTAATTCCCGCAACTGGTCCGCCATGTTATCGAGATCAGAGAAATTGCGATAAACCACGTCAGTTTCAGAGTAAACGCACGTGATACTATTATATAGCTGCTGTTCCTGGTCACATAATAAAACCGTGTGCAATGTGTTTCGTGCAGACACCATCGTTATTGTTTGT